CAGGATTTCAGAAAAACGAGTCCCGCTCGAAAGCTCAGGTTTGCCCGCTCGAGCGTACAGGCAAACAAGGTACAGCCTCGAGCGCAACTTGTCCGCTCGAGCGTACTGTAAACAAGTACTTGGATGGGTGAAATCTCGCTTCGGACGCTCGCTCGAGCTTGAGACATGACTTCCGTCGAGCGCCCAAATACTCCGCTCGAGCGGACTGCAAAACAGTGCAGGAGAATGCTGGTTGCTCGGATTCCACGCTCGGCGATAATAATCCCCGCTCAGAGCGGAGTGCGAAATCGGAACCCAGATTGCACCTCCAAGCTCAAACTCAAGTTCAAAAGCATCCAAACTCGACCTCTTTGGGGCTAATTCCAGAAACATCTATAAAGCGTATTAGAATAACATGTTTAAGCCCAATTTGAGAAACAAAGCCCAAGTGGTGTTTAATTCAACCCATTTCAAACCAATTTCAAATCATTTTCCAAGAACAATCTTCAAAACATGACATGCAAGAATCTAAATCGTTTTCAAAGCTTTAATGCTGTTTCAAGAGAGCTCAAGCCTTCAAAAACAGAGATGAACTCATGGAGTATGACCAAAAGATGGACATGCATGTGAGGCATTATGAACTTAACCTCAAAACTTCAATATATGTACATGCATGCAACACTTAAGCTTCAATTCACCATTAATGACCCAAATCATGACTTAGCTCTACAATCTAACATGGACCATGCAACAATCAACTCAAAACTGGACAAGAGACAATGGAGCTACTTTAGTCTTGTTAGTTCAAGAAGGGAGCTCAAATATGCAAATACACTTCAATTCCAAGCAAGATCAAGCAAATCTCTCAAGAACAAACTCAACTCTCTCTCACTCTCTAGCTTGGTCGGCTGAGGCAAGAAGAGGAGAAGAAAAATGTTTAGTCTGATCACATACGTGGAGTGAAAAAGGCTCAAGTGTGTGTATATGAGATAGAAGTGGCAAAATGGTAAATATGGCAAACTCTTTAATTGGCTTATTTTAATCTAATTTAATCATACCCCAAAATTTTCAGATAATTATACTATAAAATCAACCTTAATTCTAAGGATCATAAAACATCAATCGATTTCTATTTCGGCCGCCAATAAGGCCTTCAATAGCAGTTTAAACATATAAGCATGAACAGATATTCATACAGTCAAACAGATAGAATGCAATTTAACTAGCATATACTCAATCAATTCGGTTTCCAATTACAGTCAGCTCAGTTCAGTACTTTTACCAGTCCATTATCAGTTCATAATCAATTCAATTTAACGGTAATCATGGTTATCGGTAATCAATCAGTCCTAAATCAGTAAACAGTATGAGGGTTGTTACAGTTTTGCAGTCCGCTCGAGCGGAGGATTGGGCGCTCGAGCGGAGTCATGTCTCACGCTCGAGCGGGGTCGAGCGGAGATTTCACCCATCCAGTACTTTTTACAGTACGCTCGAGCAGGAAAGTTTACGCTCGAGCGTGTACCTTTGTTGCATTACCGCTCGAGCGGGAAACCTGTGCTCGCGCAGAACTCTGTTTTTCGTGAAATGCTTTTTAAATGTGCATCTTTGCATCCTCATCTCATTCTAGAGCATTCTTAGGCCTAGTTGTAGACATCTTGTTGAGGATATAGATATAGAACACACCGAGGCATTAGGGTTAAGTTATTATCTTTCCCCGCTATGTAGCTTAGTGTGTTCAATCTGTATTGTGTAGGGTTGGCAACTGGAGAGGCACGCTCTAGCATACTGTAGCCCGAACTCTGTGAGTAACAACTGTGTAAAGATATGTTCAAAAATGATTATTTTCTGAACAATTGAACTGTACTGCTTTCTGAACTGTTACTGTTAATTGAATGAATGTATGTCCTCTATTCTGAACTGTATTGGGCATCCTTAGCAACTTACTGTTACTGACTGTTACTGTTACAGAGATCTCTGTCGGTTCCCTCGTGGAACCACTATTGTTTACTGATTGATGGCCATCACTACTGTTCGGTCTTTAAAACCTACTGTTTACTGCTATGCTAATGGATGTACCACATATGATTGAATAACTGTTCTGACTGAAAGACTGAAGTATTGTTTAATGAACTGATTTCATTACTGTAAGGACATTCATTCTAAACCCCTTTACGCTTTATGTTATTCACTGGGCTTTAGCTCACTGCTCATATATATATGTAGGTGTGCAGGCACCGGATTGAAGCTAGAGGCGTCAGGGTTACTCCAGTTTTTGTCAAGCCAGCCTTTGTGCCTCACTGCGCAGGTTCTGAGCCTAACGTGTTAGGGCTTAGGGGTGTTTTTACAACTCCCCTTTGTACTGTTTTCACTGTTTTGTATAGACTGAATGTTTACCGTACTGTTACCTAGGGTTGAGTCCCTAGTCTGAATGATTGTAAATATCGTGCATACCGTTCTGTACTGTTTACGTATAAATGTATGAAAAATCTTTTCATATAGACTGTCGCAGCTCATTGGGCATTGTTTATTTACTGTTTTGGCTTCCGCCAGGCCCTGTACTCTGTTTTACTGTATTACTGTTCAGCAGGCCTTCGGTAATCTCGGATTACTGGCCGGTTACGGTGCATAAACCCATAGGGCCGGGTTTGGGTCGTGACAAGGTCTTAGTGGCATATGAATATGTAGGCCTTATGGATGTTTCAGTATCGGTATTGTTTATATGCGTGGTACTTATACCTTTGCTAAACCTCATAAATTGTGTTAGATTATTTCTACTGGACTGTTGGCTCACCCTATATGGGAATACTATTTTCAGGTGCAGGTGAGATATTTCCTCTAAGGCAATAGCGTGGATAGACTTTCAGGAAGCAAGAGCTTCTTAATTCTGTCTTGTTGTGTGTATGCTTGTTATTTGTAAAGCTAAGGGCTTAAGATGTAATGAGAGAGACTCAATTCGTGTAACCGAACAATGACTTGGAAATATGTAAGCCTACATGGCATTTAACTGGTTGTTAAACAGTGAACTCTGATGTATGAAAGTATGTTGTTTCTCATATTTATTCTGCATATGAGTTATCTTCATTTTATCATTTTGGGGGCGTGACAGGTCGACCAGTTGGTCTACTGGGTAGGCAACTCATTTTTTTTTTCTTCCTTCCTTTCTGTTCCCAATTCGTTTATTATTTATTTTTCCCTCCATCAAACAAAACCCTCTTGGTTAATTGCACAAAATCCCAACAAATGCTCACCAAAGTGATCATCATCAACAAATAACACCCACTTGACAGTCCAAACACAAATATATATATATATATATATATACAAATACACATATACATAGATGTGATTTCAACACAGTTTGAGCAACCTGAGTGAGTGGAGAGTCTAGAAGATTGCTTAGTGAGAATGACACGAAGATCACCATCATCTCCTTCAAAGAGACAGATCAAAACAGCGGCTCTCTTGGGTTTGAATATTTCGAGTTGGCTTGCAATTAGGGTTGCAAATTCCACAAAACCCACATGAGAAACCACCGTTCCTTCACTTTCTTCGATTCTTTTCTCTTCAATATCGGATTCATCGAAAGTTGAAGGGGGTTTGTACAGTTGAAGTTGTCGAGCTAAGGTTGTGAGCCTTTGGGATCCCCCAAAACAGTTGTTTGAATCCATGATGAGTTTGGATTTGGGGAGACAATTTGAACCAGTTCGCAGGTCAACCAAAAATTGAAGCAAAGTGAAGCAGGTATACATGCGATGGTTGACCGGTGGTCCCCACCTCTAACGTTAACGCATAGTGAAATGGTGAAATCTCACGCAGGTTCTCAGTTTGATAAAATTTTTGCTCCGTTCTCAGTTTGATATCAATTTAGTAAAATCATTGGAGAGAAAAAAAATGATTTTTTTTCATCAAATTCAACTCTGATGCTCAATCTGATACAACATTGAAGATGGTCTTACTATTGTTTTTAATATAATTTATAAGTTAGTTTTTTTATTTATTATAAAAAGACGTGTAAAAAAACAAAACAAAAAAGATGACCAAAATAAATTAATAAATTAACTATGTAAAAAAATATAAATTATTTAAATAAAAACCATGATAAGTCGCGCTCTCCTTTAAATTCTTTCAAATTCATTGAACAAACATTGTATTATAGTACCCAAATTATATAAATTTATGAGTTTATTTTTTGTGCGAGGTAACGTGGAATTTGTCCAATATGTATAGAGGGACGTGTCCCCGTGGGACTCATGTGTTACAATCTGGGGTAATTTATTTATATAAAAAAATTAAGAAATCAATCTTTTACCATCTTTACAAAAACACCACTCCATAGTAATGGGGTGTACCTGCTATCGCCGGTTGCGGGAGTGATGTGCGGTGGTTGCAGGTGAGTATGCGACTAGGAATGTTCTCTTTTTTCTCTTTTTAACCCTTTTTTTTTTTTAATGCTTTCTCATTCTTTACCTATTTTTTATTTAATAACGAGCTAAGTCAAAGTCTGGCTCGAGTGTTGCTTTTCCTTCTATCTGGGCCGTCAAATGCCATAATGAGACTCAAAATGAACCAAGATTCATGATAATCAATAGCAACTATCTTTATTTAACATCGTTCCTCTCTACTTTTTTTTTAATAGGAAAAGAAAATAGTTTAAATTTGTTAAAATTGAAAATCTCAACTTCACACATGAAGTTAGTGCATTATGAAACTAATTTTTATAATTCATTTCATATGACAAGTCAATAATAATATATATATAAATAAATAAAAAATTTAATTGATCAAATATAAGAAATCACATATATTATAACAATTTATTTTTAAATATATTTATGACATATAGAAAAAAACGATTCAATGGTACGACAATTGATATTTGATTAATTTAATTTTTTACATATATTATTTTGTTAATTGATTATACAAAATAAACAATTTAAATCATCAAAATGAGTTTACATTAACTTGATAATAACATCAATTTTATTATACAATTGAGATATTCAACTTTAATAAATCTGTACTCAACAGTCAAAGCGGTGAAGGTTGGGGTGATGATTTGGTAGATAGGGTAATTTTATAGATTTTACATTTTATCAATGGTGCTACATCTTTTAATTTTGTCTCTTCAATTTTACCTCTAGTTCCACATTCCTTTCCTTTTTTATCTTTAACTTTTTTAATTTCACATTATTGGAGATGGAATTAAGAAAGCAAAATTAAGGTATTATTCTTTAGCAAATGGAGTTTTTCCATTTGGTGAACCCCGGCGGGTCAGGGTGCTAAATAAATAATCATATTAACAAGATGAGTAAATAATTAAGTGATAAATTAATGAGCACTGCTGAAGTGGGAAAATTATACCATGTTGTGGTGTAAATTGATGTGGTGTTTTAATTTATTATTTATTAGTTAAAATTGTAGTACTCATTCTTTTTTTATTAGTTTTTGGGTATAATAGGACAACTGTCCTAAAATAAATGGTGTTAAATAATATTTTAAATTACCAAATAACTACTTATTAAAGTGGAGTTTAATAATTGTTATTTAATTATATATTTTTTACTTTTAAATTTTTTTAAAAGTTAGTAATGAGCTTGGTAATTATTAAAAAAATATTTTTTACTATGAATAAAGTTTTGTGAATCTTTTTAATTTTTACTTTTTTGATAAATTATTATATTATTCTTACAATGTTGTGAGTATTAACCAACATAAGCAAATGGATATGATCAAATTTATCAATATATTATGTCGACATTCTTAAAAAATATTTATGAAAAGTTTATTTTTTTTACCAAACCAAATAGTTTCTGTACGGGAAAGAAATAAACCTTCTCGTATAATCCTGTTGATCAAGTTTGCGCTCCGCCGTACGTCGTTGCTTTATTACCTGAAAACATAAACGTGAGCTAGCCGGTGGGTGTGTGCCGGAAACCTCTCTGATGCCTAAGTCAGTAAGCTTGACAAATAGACAAAAGTTCTGTGTATTCAGAAAACAAAGTTGTGTGTTACCTCTCCAAAGGTGATGTTTGTGAGCTTTTATAGGTTTCGTGTGGCACAATCCTAGTAGGACTTCTACTCCTCCATGCAGAGTCCTCCTAGGATTCTTACTCCTAAAAGATAATGCTTATCCTTCAACACCCCCTTCACTGCTTAAACCAAGTGAGATGGTTTTTACCACGGCCGAACTCCAATATGACCGAAGTAATCATGGTTATGCTGAGCCGCAGAGTAGGCCGAACTATCCTTAGTTCGGTTCTTCCTTTCGCTACACTTTATCTCGGTTCTCTCATGTACAAACCACGGTGTGATCAGACCGAGCTACCGAATAGTAGGTTTTGACCGTTCTAGACACAATACGCCATGACCGGGCTAACTCTGAGACCGGACTAACTTCCAAGTGTCTTTAGATCGGACTAACTTCAAGTCTCCTCCGGGCCGGACTAGCTTCGGGGCTCTTGTACCGGACTAACTTTAAAGCCTTTTTATTTAGCCCATTGTATAGCGGCCCATGACGGCCCATTACCCAGCTCCGCCCAATTTTCATATAAATTACCCTCTCAATTGCCTCTTAATTCCATCTGCGTAGCGTGATAGGGATTACCTGTTTTATCAGCTGAGCTAAGGTTTTTAAGCCTTTCCAGCCGAGCTTAAATCCTTTAGTTTTTCCAGCCAAGCTAAAACCCTTTAGCTTTTCCAACCGAGCTAAAACTCTTTAGCCTATCCAATCCGAGCTAAACTCACACCGGGCTCTAGCTGTCCGGTCGAAATGTCTCTTCAATCACAGCAACTGAATCGCTTCTTATTCCAATGACACGTGGCAGGCACTGATTGGCTCAATGCAACTGTCACACCGCCTTCGTACTCCGTGTTTTTTGAACAGTCCCGCCCAAATTTTGGGGCTTTCCATCAAAAACAAATCATAAGGAAAAAATCCCTCCATTTCTACTATTCATCCTCTTCCTTTTCTCTGAGTTCTTCACTGTTCTTCGTCTTCTGAAAGAGTTGTTTTGCTGCCTTTTTCTTCCATCTCCAGTTCTTGCCTCTTCATCTGGTTAGTATTGCTCCTCTATCTTGCTTTCCCTTGTTTTCGTAATTTGTTTTGTGTGTTTTGTAAAATATATTTTTTTCCATGTGCTTTGCTTCTTCTGAAAACACCATGTTAGTATAATCCTCAGGCATTCATGAAATAACCTGTAGAACACTGCTTTTGATCCAAAATTACACATAACCGAACTAGTAAACCGTTTGTAGTTTTGATGTTAGTGAGACCAGACTATACAACCGAACTAACACTTGTAGCAGCAGTTTCATTAAGTCAAACCTTTTCTTGATAGATCTTTAGCCGAGGTAATCGAACCGAACTAAGTCAGAACGTAGCATACTGAAACCTTATCTTTCGACCGAGCTAGGTCTTTGGGGCTTAACCAGCTTTTAAAGTTTTAGACCGAACTCAGAAAGCTGCCCCTAGAGGCTCAACCGGTCTGACTGAGCCTTTTATTTAACCGAGATAACGAATCACTTGCCAAGACCGAGATATCGAACCCCCTGCTCAAACCGAGCTACTAAGCATCTTGTTGAAACCGAGACAGAACCTGTAGCATCCACATAGCCGAAGTAGGACTCCTATTTTTTGTTTTTATTTTGTAGCACGGTCCAATGATCTGTGCTTAACCCCTCTGTTTTCCACTTTGCAGACTTAGGTTGCCCAGGCAGTCCATTGCGCGCCATACCGAGCTACTGAGCACAATTTTGCCACCGATCTAACTTATTCATAACTTATAAAATAAATGGGGAAGTATAGATTTCTAGTAGAGACGCCAAGTGGTCTAGCCGAATTCCGAAGGGATTATGGCATACCTGACGATGTACACCTTACCCTGGCCAAAAAAGATGTCATACTCTGGGGAAATGAAGACTTTGTCCCCTTTACCCTCTTGTCCATAATTGAAACCGGACTACGATTTCCAGTCCAACCCTTAATTTGTGAGTTTCTTAAGCAAACCAGACTATGCCCAACCCAACTATCCACCAATTCATACCATATAATAATGGGAATAGCCGAATTAAACCGCCAAGCCGGTCTCAACCTTGGTCTGGCCGAAATCTTTCACCAATACTCCATTGGTTCGAAGGAAGACGACTGGGTGTATTATCTTAGAATACGCCGTCGGCGTGAGAAAATAATAAAAAACACACCGGATAAACACTTGAATGACGACGATTTTTTCTGGGTGTCTGGGAACTTTGAGGATCACCAAGCCCAGATTCCTGGCCAAAGCATCAATTGGAAAAAAGGAACACCTGGTATAATTACTTCGGTTTTCTTGCGTGCTTTACAATATTTCGGTTTTCAATTTTTCAGCCGAACTAACAGTTGTTTTCTTTCGTAGATTCTGCCCACCTCCAGTCTCTGTACAGCTACCCAAATCTAGCAACCTTACGCGCCGCACTACGGTATCCAGAACGTAGTTGGGCCAAGCTGCTAAAGTTCGAACCGAGAGTGACCGACTTTCTGCTAGAGGAGGCCCCAGAATCGGACCCAACCTTGCCAGAAATTAGACTAATCCCATTGATCGCTGAAGAAGAAATGGCCAAGAAAAACAGAGTCAGGGCCCTCTTGACCGAAACCAACAAACCCGAAGTACCGCCACCAAGCCAAACG